AAAGTGACAAGAGTTCTTTCGTTTTCTCGCAAACGGCGACTAAAAAATTCAGCAGAGTCGTACGACGCAGTGTTCCTTTGCCCTTCTGCACTTTCCAGTAGCCTACCCAAAGACGTAAAAAATCCTTCGATGTTGGGCAACCAAATACGTGTACCCTGCATAATGCTTTTCAAACGTGTGTGGTTCACCTAATCATCTGTCTTTATTTCCGCCATATTGGAAGTGTTAGTTCCCGGGGCCTCTTCTTTTATGTGACTTCCGGTCATTTCTATTTCCGGTTCCTCATCTTTTAGTTTTATGGAACATCTTTTAGTTACGTAATGTCACCCACGTATGAGCTTCGTCTAACGGACGTCCGGTCATTTCTATTTCAGCTTCCTCATCTTTTAGTTTTATTGAACATCTTTTAGTTGTATACGGTCACGCTCGAATGATTCGGAAAAGCGATTTATGCTAAACAACATCGATGCATAGCATTCGAATTTGATGTACCCCGGTCGAAATTGATTTATGTCATTTTCCAATTTGTTTTATTACGCATAACAATAATGAATTTAACAAAACATTGATGTATTCACGTTCGAAATTTTGTCCGCAAAAAAGCCCCATAGAGCGATGTTTGTCTACTCCAACTAAACCTCCCGCAAAAATAGCAACATTTGCCTCTCGGACACAGCGTACCAGCACAAAGGAACAAGGAAGAAGTGCAAGAAAACAAATCAAGCCGCTAAATTCAGTGACAGCGGCAGTGTCTTATGTACAAACCACATCGCAAGCCCTGACCGAAGCCGAAAACAAGCGACATTTCTAAGCAGAGTCCCAGTCCACTGCATCAAACCTTTTTGCTCGGACGCGCTCGTTTCACCGCCCAACCTTTATCCGCCCTGCTGTGATGTGTTCTCAGGAAGTTCTCAGGAGAGTCGCTATATGCTTCGCTATATGCTTCGAATATTCAGCAAGGCCGGCTTATCTAGAGATCAGTATTCAAAAGTTTATAAAACCTGTGGTATAAAAATTTTTTGAGGACGATACGAGGTCATCAGTGTTATGTAGGAGTGGCGTTACATTCGTAGACAAAATGGATCAGTTTATTCGCAGAGCTCAATTTGTAAACAATACGCCGTCTGATCTAAATTCAGAATATTCTGTAAAGCGATGCTTTCAACTTTCACCGTCTTCGCGTCAGCCGTGGAAGCGTCTATCAAGGATATTCCACCCGAAAGCGTCGATGTGGATGAGCCATAAATTAAAGGGGGCGGAAGGCCTACACGACTTTTAACTTACGCCAAAATGCTGCTTGTGCCAATATTTTGTTTTTCATCTGCTGGGTAGAATATTCTCTGGAAGGTTCTACATTTTCACTGAGCAAGTGTGATTTTCTTTCTTGCGCCCACTATAGGTGGTTTTCACGTTACGTCATCGCCGCCATGCTGGTGGACGGTAAACAAAAGATCGCTCATTAGCTCGCTTGGTTTGTCCAGCAGCATTTGTTCATGTCACCATTGTTATTTGTGTCTCCCGAGATTGCATGAAAACCACCTATTTCCAAGCGCCCGCTACGCAGGCTAGCCCCACCTCCAAAGCTAGGGAAAAGCGCCCTGGAGACGAGGTTGCTTTCTCGGCCTACTCGAGAAAGACTCCGCTCTGAGTAAATCGCTTCAAGCGCAGGTTGAACTACTGGGCTGAACTACTTTTCTCGTCAAACCGTATTTTCGAGTGCGAGCATCCGTATCAAGCGTACAGCTATTAGGCCTGGGTTCGAAACTTTAGCCTACCAACACGCGCGCATGCTCATTAGAGATCTTATTCGATTCGTGCATCGATCAAGAAGAAAACAAAAGGAAGCTTCTGCTTGCAGGGTGTTTCGACCCCTTCTTTGCTTAATGCAACGTATCTGTAATGCTGGTATAAGTTTTATTATATTTGAAATGTACTCTAATTCTTTAATCCGAAATTTTTTGCATTGTCACTTTGTATATCGTCCAGACCTTCTTTCGTAAGTTTTGTACAGCTCAGAAACAAGAGTCAGTTTTTACAAAGAAAGCTTATGACGTTGAGTTTGTTTTAAAATGTCACTCCTTCTCATAATCGTTGGTAGTAAAACTGTACCGACAAAAGCAAAATCTAAGTAAATTGAGAAATGATTAAGTGACGCGTACTAACCAAACTTTATTCATCTTGTGACTGCATTCGATTTAGTTATCATGTTTTCAAGCTGACAATTATTTTGAATGAATAAACAACTATTGGATTTGCCTTTCGTATAATATGAAGAATTCTGCTGATCTCGTCCAGTACCTACTACTTATCCGAGCAAGTTTTCTTCTTTTTTTAGCGAGTGCAATTAGTCTAATTCTCTTTTTTCCTGGATATTAGATAAAGCCCTCAGCAGCGATGTAAACCACGATATCATAGTAGATCTTTCATAGAGAACCCAGCAGAGGCTCTCTATTGACGATAAAACAGATGATAATTTTTCGATTTTAATCTTTAAGTGAAATAATTAACTCGTTGGAAGACTTTTATCGTCACAGCCTCCAGGTGCAGTTCTCATTGCCTTTTCCCCGCTACTCAGTATTCTAATCGATCCCTTACAGTCTCAGTGATCTACTGACATAGGAAGGGTTCGATCCCGTTCGTTGTTTTACACGTTTAAGGCTGTGATCAAGGATGCTTGTTTTTCTTATAGAAATTGTGGGGGTGGAGGGGGTGGGGGCGGGGGGGAGTGAGGCACGGATCGGAGAAAGGAAATACTCAATGGACGGGAGGTGGAAGAAATTGGGAGGGAGGGGGTTACGCAAAAATGTTCCCCTCCCCCCGACCAAAGAGTCCGGCCTGCCTGAATATTTTAATTTTCACTGAGCTGTGTTTATAAATGATTTTCACATTCACGTTTAAAGCAAAAGCTACAGCGTTGGTAAAACGGGCAACAAAAACGTTGCAACATTGCTGCAGAACAAGTTGAAAATCGATGAGTAAAACGCACAACATCGCTATTCAACTCGTTTTGCAGCAACTTGACAAGTTGACAAGTTGCATATTTTCTGTTGCTCTTGTTTTTTCGTAGCTTTTAAAAGAAAAGAAAAAAGCCTAATATACCTGAGTAAATAATCATGAAAGAATAAAGAAATAATCAGAAATAAAAATAAGTCTACAACACTGACTAACTCACTAAAATCGTTTGGCTTTCTTTTGAACTGCACTAAAGATTCGAAAAATATACAGTTTTCCTTCTTTGAATGTGAACTTTTATCAATGATAACTGCAAGATGAGTTAATGAATGGATCAACAGCAACAACGAGATTAAGCATGATGCTAAACCAAGCCTACTTATAACTTAATCGGTCAAACAAATAGAGGAAGTTGACCTAGAAACGTTTGTTTAGAACGCGTAGAAACTGCCTTTGGTAATGTGAATTGTCCGTAATATCGCAAACAGCCTTTTTCCTGAGTTTGTGACCCATGATAGAAACGTTTGTTACTTCACCCAAGCCAAGTTTTCGTCGACTTGCTCCCATTCCGTAAACTCTTTTCCTTGTTTCTTCCACAGAGGCCTGTTCATGATCATCGGTTTCTTTTCCCTGCACGTATTCTTGAACTGCGCCTCCATAAAAAATAAACTGGCTCCGTTTTTTGGGTTCTGTCAGGCTTTTATTGTCAGTCAAGTATAGAATACTTCTATTCGCGTGGACGTCCTTCTCGGGGTTATTTCCATCTTTTTGATTAAATGTACGTAACATTCGCTGGCGCCGGAAAATGGAGCTATTTTTCGCCAAAAGCATTGCATCTTCTCCAACCTTATGAGGGTAATTATTTTCTTCCGCTTCGAGAGCTAGATTGTAGCTAAAGTGAAAAATCCGCGTACCATCTTGTTTCGACATCGCCCTTGAATTGTAGGCGATGCTGATCAATCGTTTCATCAGCTATCGATACTCTGATCTGAAGAAATGTTCGCTGTATCTTGATAATAGACCGGCAATATTCAGGTAAAGAGGTCCTTTAAAAATGATAAATTTAGTATCGAGGACGTAAAGACTATGGCCTTTGTGGTAGACGTACGTCATAATTAACAAACACACACGGGTAACGTATTTCCCACGCACGACTCCGCTTATCACCTGGCATGGAAATTAATGTTTTCTTTTTTTAAATTATTCTTTTCGCGTATTCGCTCGAATAACTGACTAAATGCATTTATTACTGCTCGAATAAAATGTGTCAGATATTGATTTATTATATTTCGTTATTAATTCAAAGTTTTTGGTTTTGTTAGTATTTTTTTCTATGTGAACGGGGAAGAGAGGAAATTAATTCATAGGAAGCATACAGCTGAAGCATGAACGACACGCTATAATCAAACTAATCTTAAAAAGGCTTACCGCCCATGACCAATGATTCTAGATTTGCATGCATACGATATCAGAACTGTGTAATCGATTTCAAACCGGCATACATATTGTGTATGTGGTTCTCTATTTTATTTAGTTTTATTCTTTTCTTTTAAATGATATGTTTATCAGAATTTGTGAAGAGCTCTCACCATGTGTAAAAAAATCTATCAAGTATATAGGAATCAACAACCCAACTTCATAAAGCAAAGTCTTTTTTCTTAATTAACTGGTCACCTATATCAGTCACGTATGAAAATATCTCACATAAGTACTTTAATTAGTTATTTTTTTGGAAAGCATACAGTTCAATTTTACCAACGAATTTGTAATCGTCAATAAATTACTATCATGCTCATAGCGCTCCATAACATTGCCATCAAAAAAATATTTACATAAATATAAAAATATTTCCTTCCTTTACACAGGGCCTCCATACAAACTCTGGTACTGTTCATCCATTTAAAATGGCGAGCAAATAATAAGGTCACCAATGGATCCCCACCCACCCCCCGACCCCACCAAAAAAAAACAACAGGGGTGGGCAGAGCTTCGCGACAGGGCTCCAGTGCGCCAGCTGTCTCGTCGCCACACCATAACAAGAGCCATTATAGCATTATTGCTCTTGGCCAAAAGGGAATCTGTTCGCGCGCCATGAGCTACTTGTACACCAGCTGTTGAAAGTATGAGACGTAAGCAGTGCCTGCAAAGGATACTAAGGTCCGGATTTTCTAAATAATACGATGAGCTGCAATAAACTGATTGCCGGTAGATAAAAAGAAAAATAATTGTGTAAAAAAAAAATATTGTGTTTTGAGGTAAAAGTACAAATATAACATGCCCGCGGGTGGCTAAGCTAGCGTGTCATGTTTACAGTAAATAATACAACTAAATACAACTAAAACTAACAAGAGAACTCAAGAAACTAAAATTGACAATAGTGACTAGAGACTACTAATAAACTAATGGTATTACTAATAATAAATGACAACAGTTATGACAAGAGACTACTGATACACTAAACGACATTAATGATTACACTAACTAAAAGGAAAATAAATTCAACTTAAGGGCGACGGTCGGGAAAAATCGACCAAAATCTAAAATTCGTGGCAAGAGTTGAGAAATCAATTTCTTTCATTTTTTGTTCATAGATAGCTGTTAGGTAGATAAGAAACCTAATGAATATTGTTCCTGCCAAAAGCCTTTTATCTGTGAGAAAAATTAGAAGATCGGTTTTCGATGTCGGAGTCTCAGACTGCCCTAATTTTTAACCTGAAATTCGCTAACATCAACTTTCTTCGCGTTCGCAAACGAACCCGCATAGAGAAATTTGGACACTGTCAATGAACAGAAAAATTCTTCTTCTTCCACTAAAAGATACTTTCAGGACAATAGCGAAGTTCGTCGTACTGAAATAATTAAAAAAATGAGGGATAGGTTTTCAGGATGACAAAAACTTAAGTTCGTTACTCATTTTCGACAGCAATATTTACTCCAAATTCTCTTCATGCTATCTAAATCAGGCGCGGATCTAGGATAAATACTGACCGATTTCCTAAACGAGCGCCGAAGGCGCAAGCTTCTTGCCGGTTCCGGGGGCGGGTTCCCTCAGGACGTTTCAGTGGATTTTGACTTCTTAAAATCCCCTTTCCAGGGTTTCCGAGTCATTCAGACAGGATTTCAACTTGGCCGAGTGTTTTATATTATTAAAAATATATTTAGTATGAAAAATGTGACCGATTTCTGTAAAACGGTGGAAACCGGTGTGGATCCGCGCCTGTAAATCACACATTTAGACATTCATTTAAAATGTACCTGGGAATTGGCTTGTGTTATTAAAGGAAATCTGTGTAAGACACCATCGAAGTTCAGGAATTTTCATTGTAGGCCGGCGGTAATTGTGTAAACACTTCCAATTTCGAAACGCACAAAAGTAGATATTTACAGCCTAAAGGCTCGTTTTTCGTCCTTCTTGTGGATTTTCCCATTGCAAAGTTCATGCTTTTTTCATCCAAAGAGTGGGGTAAAAAGGTGAAACTGGGTCAATTTTAGCTACTTTGGAACACTGAACTCTGCCAGCCGGCGACTCTGCGTGACAATCTGTTCCGTGACTGCACGTGACACAACATACATTTGAAGAGGGTCGTGACTAGAATGGATACTCCAAAATCAGGTATCCGCTCGGAGACTGGAACCGAATAAAATTATTTTTCGGCAAATCGCTCCGACTCTTTACGACCTTGTTGTGTTGAAAGACTAAGTATACAAAGAAGGCTAAGATGAGAATGGTTACTCCAAAATATGGATCAAAGCCTACATAGAGGTTAGTTGTTTTTCACGTTCTTTTTGTAAGAATTTAGTGCAAGGAGCAAACAATGTCTGTTTAATTACAGTACCACTACCGCGACTGCCGTGTAAAGCTTATTCATAGCAAAGTATCTGTTTGGATAGCTCAGAATAAGGTGGATACTTCAGAATAAGAATGGCCAAAATATGGAAGTTTTGGCCATCTGGATTATTATTACTGAACTTC